ATGTGTGAATCTGAAAACAGCCATCAGCCCCTCACCCAGGTGGCCAGGCCCCCCAATGGGGACCCCCACCCTGAAGGGAGTTTGGGCAGCCTGCATATAGCCATCAGCCCCTCGCCCAGGCTGGCCAGGCCCCCCAGAGGGGCCCCGACCCTGATCCGGGACACCCTTCAGGGCAAACCAGTCAGCCCCCATCCATGCACCAGTCCTCTATCCTATATACTAAAAGGGTAATATGCAAACTGACCCTAACCGCAGAAGGACTGGGAATGACTGGTCACTATGACACACACTGACCACCAGGGGGAAGGTGCTCAATGCAGGAGCTGCCCTCTGGTAGTGCTCTCACATGGGAGGAGCTCCGCTCATCCAGAAGCCAGGGTGATGGCTGCCAGTACAGCGGTGGTGGTGGGAGCCTCTCCTGCCTCCTCAGCAGTGCTAAGGATGTCCAACTGCAGTTTAGGCCTGCTCCCCACTGGCAAGTGGACATCCCCCAAGGGCTGCCGGGCTGCCAGAGGGATGTTTGATTGCCAGCTTAGGCCCAATCCCCCGGGGAGCGGGCCTAAGCCAGCAGGTGGTCATCCCCTGAGGGGTAACAGACTTTGAGAGGGCACAGGCCAGGCTGGGGGAGCCTCCTCCTCCCCCAATTGCACAAATTTTTGTGCACCGGGCCTCTAGTTTATATATAAAAAGCTAATATGCTAAGTGTCCCTCCCTCAATCCAACTGGTCACTATGATGCTCACTGACTACCAGAGGGCAGACATTCAACAAGGGAGCTGCCAGGCTGCATTGACTTTGGCAGCGGTAGTTCTTGAGTAATGCACCTCGAAACTAGAAAGGAGAGAGCCTGATTTTTCACAGGGCTGCACGATTCTGCCTTCGGCCATGGGTTATGTTGTTGCTGGGGCACTGTTGGCCCTGAACCTGATTCACTGCACACTTGTATTTGCGTTTTACACCCTGTATGACAGCAATTTTGCAGAGTGCCCTCTTGCACTCCGGGCCTCTCAGGGGATATTGGAGACTCAGTTTCGGCCCAATCCCCATAGGGCAGGCAGAGGGACCCCACCTGCTGGAAGGACCTCACTCAGTCCATCTCGCCCAGTCCCACCCTACTGGCCACCTTCTAAATAATTTCCTTTCAATGTGCACAAATCCATGCACCGGGTCACTAGTATCAAAATAAACTTTTGCCAAAATCACACACACACACACACACACACACACACAGGTTTTATAAGAAGAAACTTTAATTTTTTACAGGTATAGAACATATACCCAACAAGATTATAATTGTTTTTTACAACTTTAAATTCAGCTGTTCCAAGTTATTTATTTGTATTATAAATTTTTTGTGCATCTTCATCCAAGCCATAAGTAAAATACACTCCTTCAGCTTCATCTACTTGTCTTTTTCCTGGTTTCTCACTTCTCTATGTTTTCTCTTCTCTAATAAGTTTTAATATGTGAAGGGTTCACATATTTATTTTTTCTCTTGCACACTTAGTAAGTGCTTTCCTCTGATAGCTGAGAAAAGAGAAACAAAATATTCTTAATACATTATTTAGGAAATGCAACCAGAAGGAAGAGGAACATTGGCCTACTAGGGTCTAAGCTAATCTTGACTTTGGGAGTGCATGCACCATGAGGAGAGAAGAAATGGAGAAACCAAGATGGCACAGTCAGGACAGTGAAGTTAGTAGTTGAGGGTTTCCCAGTAGTTTGTGAATGAGAGAACTAGAAAGGATATGATATTCTAATTTGATTTCCCAGAACTAAAATAATATTTGAGAATAAACTGAAACTCTATCTCAACTTTGATTGGAACAGTGCAGTGTGTATTGTGCACAGATTGGTAACAGAGAATACACATAATGCTCAAATCTGAGGCATGCATATGAAAGACACCTACCTCTACCTAGCACCAGCCACACTGCATTGAGAGGACTCAAAGGAGGGAGAGTTTTCAAAAGTCAAGTCAAAGAGACAGAAGCATGAGGTCTCAAGAAAAAGCCAAATAAGCAAAGATCACATCTGATGAGGAACAATGCTGATCCAATCCAAACCTAGGTCCCAAGCAAAGAAGTATGTTTTGATAGATGAGGGCAAGGATACAGCTTGGGATGTTCAGACAATGGGCATGATAGAACTGTATCATTTCAAAAATTTCATTTTAAAACAAGACCAGGGGAGGAAAAGTAGTGCAAATCCTCTAGGTTGTACCCTGATTGGGGGTGGAAGGATCAAGAAATATGAGGGGGAAAAACATATCCCACCAATGGGTTAAAGGGCAGGATTACTCACAGGGCAGCAACTCACAGAGACACCGAATTGTCAGGCACCCAATAGATCCAAGCAGGAAGTAGCCACAATGCGGACATCTTCAAGTTTCTCTACCACCAAATGCTTTACCTGTTTCCTCAAGAGGCAGATCCTCTAAGAAGTCATCTGCTGCCCACAGCATCTGTCTCAGTGCAGAGAGGTTCAGGACGTCCTTTATAGGGTCCAGCTCCCACCCTGAGGTATAATTACTGACCACCAAGATATCAGAAAGAGCAAATCCAAGTTTTTTGTGGACTTCCTCTTGCTGAAATACAGAAATTAAAACCCACAAATCTCAAAACAGTGAAAAACATTACTTAATGTCAATATAAATTATGAAAGCAATACCAAAGGTAGGCACTTGGCAAAGTTTGCCTACTGTGAGAAACGGAGATAGAGATCTGGCCCATAAAGAACTTCCCAAGTCAAGCTCTAACATCACTGCTAATTTTTACTTAGAATACATAGAACGTAGAACAGATTCAATATGATTTAAAATCTAAAGATAACATGGTTCTATATAAACTACTTTGAAATTGAAGCATTTTTAATATACTTACATTAAAGTCCATAATTTCCCTGTTTTCTTTTAAAAGTTATTCTTAGGATAAGGTGATTTTATTTGTTTAATGCTGATATTCAATTTATTTTTTTACATTTCATTTTTCAATTACAACTGACATTCGATAATTTTATATTAGTTTCAAGTGTACAGTGCTGATGTTTAATTAGACTAGTTTATCTGTGCAACCAGATTGCCTGGGATAAATATAGGGCTCTGTCCCCTCTTAGCACTGTCAATAAGCATTGGCAAATGCTTTTCTCTGTGCGCTTGTGTTTTCTCATCTACCAGATATGGTAATGACAATACCCACCTCATCAGCTTGTTTAAAGTACTGAATAAGAAAACCGATCACTTAATCAGTGCTTAACAAATAGTAGCTATCATTATATTCTCCCAACTGGTGTTCCCACCTTCATGCTCCTTTTGACTCTAATCTATGCTTCACATAGGTGTCAAATTAAATTTTTTGAAGCTGACTTTGTTCACATCACTACTCTTTTAAAAAGTTGCTATGCTTCCCCATAATGCACTTAATTAAGTAAAATCACCTTATTCAAATGTTTCTTTCTCACTTTATCTT